GACATATCCTGATCAAAAATAACACCAAGTTTCTTTACATTAGAACTAAAGGCCAGATTAATGCCATCCAGAGAAGGTGAAATGCTGCAAAGTTTATTCCTAAGACGTTCAGGTCCAAAAACCACAACCTCTGTCTTATCTGAGTTTAAAAGCAAAAAAATTAAGAGTCATCCAGTTTTTTTTTATTACAAGACATGCTTGTAGTTTAAGTAACTGGTTGGATTCATCTGTTTTCATGGATAAATATAACTGAGTATCATCAGCATATCAATGAAAATGTATCCCATGCTGTTTAATAACTTTACCTAATGGAAGCAYATTTAAAGTAAAGAGGAGTGGTCCAAGCACTGAACCCTGAGGAACTCCGTGACTAACTGTGGTGTAGAAAGTTTTATTATTAACATTTACAAACTGGAGTCAGTCAAATAAATAAGATTCAACCACCAGGTGGTTATTAATCACAACAAATCTTTAAATGTCACACAGACAAAAACAACATTTACATTTCAAGTGTTACAATTGTTTAAGGTAAACCTGAATGGTTGAAACAAGTTTATTTACTTCATTAATATGAACAATGCAAATTCTGGTCTTCGTAAAGTTAGCATTAGGTAAGCTAAATAGATGCAAATAGATGCAAATAAAGTTTAGGCATGTTTATCTTTCCAAAGCAGACTAACAAATGTGATATAATCACACAGAAAAACACAACAGTGATACAAAATACAAACTCAAAGCATATAATTATTGTAAATATTTACTTTGTGTAAAAACATAGAAACTTCCAGCTGCATCAATATATGCAAAAGATGATTTAACTGCTAAAATTCACATCACGTGACCAGCAACCTTTGGTGAACTTTGATGATCCAAGTTTTCTTGTGAATTCCTTTCAAATAACCAGCTGTCTGATGAGTGAGCAGCCTCAGTTTTCCAGCAAATCTTAGTGGCCGAACTGCATTACAGCCTGGCATGAACTGTTATGGTATGAAAGAACACACCCAAAACAACAAAAGCACCCAAACGTCTTTGATCRTATTTAGTAAAAGGAAGCAGGACTTTGAAGGCCTCTGGTTTCTCAAAACGATGCCGGACAAAACGCCCTTAACCCCATCTTTGCAGAATCTTATCTTACTGTTGTTGGTATTAGCTTCATCATTTTGAGCACATAAACCAACTAAGCATTGTCACAAGTAATTGATCGCATCAGCCTTTCAGAATGTGTAAACCTTTGTTTCCACAACGAGCCTTGCACAGTGACTAGTCACAGGTGCTCAAATGTTAGTCTGGTGTCAGGGAACTTAGTCTTATTCATGAACTGCAGGACAAATATTGGTAAATGGTAAATGGACTGAAATTATAGAGCGCTTTATCAATCCCTCTGGACCCCAAAGTGCTTTACACCTACAGACATTCACCCATTCACACTCACATTCACACACTGATGATGGTAAGCTACATTGTAGCCACAGCTCCCCTGGGGCACACTGACAGAGGTGGGGCTGCCATGCACTGGTGCTACTGGACCCTCTGACCACCATCAGTAGGCCAGGCAGGTGAAGTGTCTTCCCCAAGGATACAACGACTGAAACAGCTGGACAGGGGATCGAACTGGTGACCTTCCAGTTCCAGGACAACTCCCCTWACCACTCTGATTGTGACATGCTGTGAATCATTTCCTCACAGGGCTGTGCCAGTAAGTTCCTCATATTGTGTTTTATCATTTCTATTTTTAGCTTTAGGAAGAACACCTCACTGGTGGGTGAAGGAAATTATTAGACTTACCATATAGTCGGTAAGAAATTTAACAGCCTTTGGGTATTATTGTTACATTTAAAACAACAAAAGGCTGGCTGTGGAAGTTAAATCAACAGTTTAACAGTTTAAATTTGGGTTCTGTGAAAAACACATTAAGAATTATTATTTTACTTGATGACTGCTTTTTGAACAACCTCAGTTTGGAGAAACAGAGTTTAACTTTGACCAAAGTGTAGCACTAACAGGTTTGTATGAATGGTATTTTATATAATTGCACATCATTGTCAATTTCACACTATGCCAATATTGATGGAGAATTTTATTATTAGCTAAAACACAATAAAAATTTATAAAATAATGATCACATAGGATTTTTCAAATCTGAGTTGTTTTAAGAGGCCAATGATCCACTGCTGTTGGTTCACAAATACAGTTTTGAATCAAACTACAAGTTAAAAACTTTTCAGAACAACAGTCCAAACCACTGTTTAGTGACAGTATTTAAACAAATTCAGAAGGACACTATAMATTTATAGGGGTGGCTATTTCCCTCTTCAAATTATCTGAACTGCCAAAGATTATTTTTAGATGTTTTACTCTTCTCTGACTGAAATAAGGCAATAAATGCAATTTTATTCAGCTCTTTTCATATAAAATAATTTAGACAACACATTAAAGCCATATGGAAGCAACTTTTATGCAGAAAAGCTAACTGTTTTTTTTTTATCCAGTCAAGATCTTAATCAACACATCAAAAACCGTTAATCTGGCCACTTTRTTGAGAAATGTGTCCTTCTAATATTAAATGGGTGCATTCACAACCCATTTTTCAGTATCCTAATATTTCATCACTGCAACATTGTATGGTTAATGGACTGAACTTTTAGAGCGCTTTATCAAGTCCCTCCTTTACACTTACAGACATTCACCCATTCACACCATTCCAGGRCGACTCCCCTAACCACTCCACCACAGCTGCACCCGTCAAATACAACAGGCCAACACAAGTCGGCACAAAGAATGCCTGAAATAAGCCTGACTACATTTGCCCTTGGGCTAAAGACAAACTTGGCAAGAAATTTTCTTTTAAGATAAACTAGGAGACATATTTTAAAACACAAAACATTCTTCTTTATGTCACTATTGTAAAAAAAAGTGGTGCACACAAACAGACAAAGGTAAAAAGTACTTTTCATTGGTCAAGAAAGAAGACATCTGGAGCTTTTCAGACACGTCAGTCATCCATCCACTTTTATTTCCTTGTGGGGTAATCATTTWTTGCTGTACATGTTAACAAACCTAAAACTACCCAGGGGAGCATGGAGCTCAGAAATCATACTTCAAAACATGTTTTTTTTCCAAACTTTTATAAGAATACTTTTTCTTTTTTTTTTGTAAAAGAAATAAAATACAGATAATGAAGAGAACAGATGAGAGTAAAGATCACACTGGTGTGTACTCAGTCTACTCAGCGTAGACTTCGCTTGTCGATGTGTGACTAAATATTAACCGGCTTGTTTGCTTTGCTTGTTGTTTTCTGTAAAATGAAAAAATAAGGTTAATCTTGACCATTGTTACAAATTCAGATGGTATGCTGATCAAAATGACATCAAATCTGCAGCAGTTTGTGAGTCAGATTAGGTTGAAGCAGTGGATAATGGTTAAACCAATAAAAATAATAAAAAACTGGGAAAAAATAACCTAAAAGCCAAACCCTAATGCGTGATTGTTCATCCACAATAGTTCTTTATACATTTCTTTAAATCATTCATCTATATAATATACTTTGATTTATTTTCTTTTATGTTCTGTATCGCCGTCTTCATCTTTGTTATTTCTAAAACACTGAATTGGTATCATCGTTATCACTCCTGCCTCACACTTTAAACCTCAAAGTCACTTTGGGTGAGTTTCAGATTTGCACACATTCATCTCAAYCAAAAAGTTTAGTATCTTTTTGCATATCTGACACTTAAGTGTAGGAAGTTATTATTTTTTTGCTATCTTTTAATACATTTTGTATTTGGAATTAATCATGTTCTTCTAGATTCAGCAGAGCTCCTTCTCATTTGGCTTGCACGACTATTAAGATACTTCATTTATGCTCCCATTTCCCTTTAAAGTTTCTAGTATCAGGTTGATTATTTTCTGTTGTACTACTTTGTCTCTTTATCCATTRCCAGTAATGTTCCAATTCATTAAGATATTGACAAATAAACGCCTGTCCACTGTGAGGGACGCAAGATTATTTGTAACTAATTTGATCATCTGGATTTGTTTTTTGTGTCCATCTACAGCTTGTTGCAGGTTTGTATTTTTTTACTTAGTGATGGTAACAGGAAACTCTTGCTCTACTATCCAAACATCAGGCTAAATCTTCATGTCATGGCTGGTAAACATCAACTCAATTGCAAGTTTGTCCGTGTTCCCATTACTGGATTTACACAAATTCCACACAAATCATTCCTGACACCATCTGCAATTCTAAAACCACTGTTGGCATCTTASTGACAGAAAGCTAATAAAACACATCTAATAAGTCACCTTTTTTAGTTTGTATCTGCATGAGAGTTGTTCCCTACAATATTCAGACAAGGATCTAACTATTGATGTTTCATCTCATCCTGACTCTCACACTTTGAATATAGACAGACTCACTCCATCGCCAGATCCCTCCATGCAGTATAAACAACCTCAGTGGCTTAGATTAACTTCTTCTTCTTCTTCTTCTTCTTCTTCTTGTGAGAGGAGGGTGTGTGGAAAGCAGAAGAAGAGCGAGAGTAAAAGTAAGTATTTAATCACTATCTTGG